AGCACCTGCAATATATTCAGCTTCACAGGTTGACAGAGCAACAACAAGTTGCTTCTTGGAACACCAAGAAATAGGACCTCCCAGAAATTTGAATAAGTACCCAGAAATACTTCTTCTGTTAACTCTATCTCCGCACCAATCAGAATCAGAATAACTCAGAAGTTCTGATTCGATCTTTCTTCCAGACAGAAATAACACTCCATATTTCAAAGTTCCCTTCACATACCTTAGAATCCTGACTACAACTTGGTAATGGGGCAACTTTAGTTTTCTCATAAATCTGCTAACCATTCCTACTGCATAGCAAATATCAGGTCTCATATTATACAAATATCTTAGAGAACCAATCATTTGTTTGAAGGTTGTAGCATCCACATCCTCTCCATCAGAATCAGAATCCAACTTCTGATTCGTATCAGCAGGTGTGATAGCAACCTTGCAATTTTCTAGCTCAAATCTCTTCAGAAGCTCTAGTTCATACTTCATCTGATGTAAAATGATTCCTTTCTCAGAGTATATAAATTTCATCCCTAGAAATAAACTCATTTTTCTAAGATCTGTCATCTCAAATGCATTCATCAGAACTTTCTTGAACTCAGCTATCTCTTGTTCAGAACTTCATGTGAGTAATATGTCATCAACATACAAATAGACCAAAATCATATTACCTTCTGAAGTGTCCTGAACATAAACACCATACTCCATCTCACACTTTTGAAACCCTTGTTCCTTGAAAAATGAATCAATCTTTAAGTTCCAAGCTCTGGGTGCCTGCTTCAATCCATACAATGCTTTGTGTAATTTGAACACCATCCCTTCCTGATTTTTTTTCTTAAATCCAGGAGGTTGTGAAACATACACTTCTTCTTGTAATGGACCATTCAGAAATGCAGATTTTACATCTAAATGCATCAGAGGCCAATTCTTGTTAGCAACTATTGCAATCACTAGTCTGATTGTTTCATGTCTCGCTACAGGTGCAAACACTTCAAAGTAATCCAGCCCAGGATTCTGTAGGAAGCCTCTTGCTACTAATCTTGCTTTGTATTTGCCAATTGATCCATTTGGCTTTAGCTTTTGCTTGAAAACCCATTTGATGCTGATGGCTTTCTTTCCTTTTGGAAGTTCTGTCAGCTTCCAAGTCTTGTTTCTCTCTATAGCATCAAGTTCTTCTTTCATGGCCTGTAACCAAGCTTGGTGCTTAAGAGCCTATTTCGTACTCGCAGATTCAGAGTCTACTAACATTACACACTGAATAACTTCTCCTTCAGAGTTTACTTCAGTGTCTAGCAACATGTCAAACTCTGCAAATCTTCTTGGGATGCTTTTGACTCTTTGTTGCCTCTGAACTGGACCTTCAGAACTTTCCCCTTCGGAAGCACTTGCTTCAGAAATTGGACTTTCTCCAGAACCTTGACTATCTTCAGAGTCTGGATCACCATCGGATTCAGAGCCACTACCTTCAGAAATACCATCTTCAGAAGTTGGATCACCTCTGCCTTCAGAAGTTCCTCTTTCAGAATCATGATCATCGCCAAAGGCGGAATTTCCTTCAGAAGCTCCTCCTTCAGAAGTTCCACTTTCAGAATCATGATTTCTACCAGAAACATGATCATCTTTAGAAGCTTGTCCTCCAGAACCTACGTCTTTAGAGTTTTCCCTTCTAGAAGCATGATCACCACCAAATTCTGAATCATCATCAAAATCTGGATCAGAATCAGATTCACCATCTGACTCACCTTCAGAGTTTCCAGAGACATCATCTTCTGACTCTTCTTCAGAAGTAACATCTTCTTCAGACTCAGAATCACCTTCGGATTCTGACTTGTCTTCAGCTTCAGAGTCATCTTTTGACTCTAACTCGTCTTCAAAAACCTCAGATTCTGACTCATCTTCAAAATCTTCAAAGTCGTCATCTAATTCTAACTCAGAGTCATATTCTAATTCTGACTCATACAAAATCACTCCTTCAGAGTCAGAATATTCAGAGTCATATTCTTCTTCCCCTTCAGAATCAGAAAATGACAATTTTACTGGTTCCTCATCAGATTCATAAGCCATAAATAACACAGGTTCATCATCTGAATCTCCTCTGGCTACGTTTTCTTCTTCAGGCTTCCTTTCTTTGTTGGACCAACAATCTATGGCATAGTGACCAAAGTTCTTACAATAGTAACACTGAACATTCTTTTTGTCAGACTTCTCCTTTCCCCTCTGGACATTCTTCTGCCTATCAGAGTTTGAAGCTTCTGACTTTTGACCACCATTAGTTCTCTTCCTGGCTTCTGACCAAGTCTGCTTCTGATGCTTCTTACCAGAAGTTAATTTCAGAGTCTGCTGCTCTACTTCCCTCTCAGAAGTTCTTGCAGTCATACGTAACTCATGCGCCTCTAGACTATTTTGTAGATCTTCAACTCTCATGGTGCTCAAATCTTTGGAATGTTCAATTGCTACAACAATGTAATCAAACTGAGAAGTTAAAGATCTCAAGATCTTATCAATAATTACTTGTTCTGACAGAGTTTCTCCACAAGCTTTCATCTCATCAGTGATCAGAATCACTCTAGAGATGTATTCAGAAACCTTCTCGTTGTCCTTCATGTTGAGATTCTCATATTGCTTTCTGAGAGACTGAAGCTTCACCTTCTTTACTGATGCGTCATCATCGTAACATCTGACCATTGTGTCCCACGCAACCTTTACTGTTTCAGAATCAGCAATCTTCTCAAATACATTCACATCCACACATTGATGGATGTAGAACAACGCTTTCTGATCTTTCTTCCTCATCACCTTCTGTGTTATCTTCTGGTCCTCTGTTGCATCTGCTTTTAACAGATTATAGCCATCAGTAACAAGTTCTAACACATCTTGAGAACCAAATAACACGCGCATCTGGATCTTCCAACGATTCCAGTTTTTGCCATCAAATATTGGAAGCTTGGAATGAATATCGTTGTTTCCGTTCATCTTCTACCTTGTGCAATTTATGCAGAAACTCAATGAAAAATCAATATTTCCCAAATTCCAGAGTTTCTAACCAGGAGCTCTAGATACCAATTGTTGAAGCACAAAGAAGATAAAAGGCAAAAGGAATATTTACTGATAGTTTCAAAATAAGGATTTACAATGAATTACAATAACCTACTCCACTAGGCTATTTATACACACAAATTAAATCTAAAATATATCTTCTACAAAAATATAAGAAGATATAAGATTTATATCTTTTAACAAAGATATAAACAATCTAAAAGATATTCCTAAATATAAATTAATATCTAATTAAATCTAAATTAATTCTAACAAAAGCTCCATGAGTTAATAGAGCCCTATTCTCCTAAAACAAAAGTGAAAAAAAAAAACTTCATATTGACACCTTTATTATACTTCGTACTAATTATTGAAAAAAACTATGACCAACATTATTTTTTAAATAAAAAGAATATTAATGATTATTGCTAAAGAAGTAATGTAATTAATTAAGATACAATATGCTCCTCATTGTTAGGTAGAAAGTTTGTATTTGATATAAGTGTATTTATTCTAAACAAAGTAATAGTTAGTTGTATTTGATATAGTCGTTATTCTAAATAAAGTAGTAGTTAGTTGTATTTGATATAGTCGAATATATCATATGACTGATGTGTCGAAGTCAAAATATAACTTTATATATTTTAGTCTTGAATTGTAAGTTTCGAGCTTGAGTCTTGGTTGCCTATAAATAGGCATGATGCTGTACACTTTTTAAACATTCAATAGTTTAACAACTTCATAACTTTTCAATAAAGTTTTCTCTCATTCTAATCCTCTGATTCTTCTCTTCAATCTTCTTTCTCATATTTCTTGAAAACCCTAATTGTTCCAACAAATTGATACCAATGAGTCCGGTTGCGATTCAGAGAAAATCTGTAATGAAAAAAGAACAACAAAATCCATTCAATTTCCAGCGAATCTACTGGTTTTCAAAAGAGAGAACTATGAGAGGTGGATTGCGCAAATGAAGATCATCTTTAGATTTTAAGATGTATCTGAAACCGTGAATGATGGAGTACTGACATTGAAAGCGAATACAGATGATGCTTAGAAAGTTGCACACAAGTATCAAAGAAAGAAAGATGGAAAAACTCTATTCTTGATTCACCAGTGTATAGATCCTAATTTGTTCGAGAAGATAATTGAAGAAGAAACAGTCAAAGGAGCATGTGACAAGTTGAAGAACTTGTACGACGTAGATGAAAAATTGAAAAACGGTGAAGTTTCAGACGTTGAGAAAACAATTTGAGATGACTCATATGAAGGAAGATGAACTAGTCTTAGAATTCTTTTCACGTGTGGTGTTGTTAAATAATCGTGATATATCTCTGTTTTTCAATCTGTTATTCCGCAGTTGAATAAGTTTGGTTCCTAATTTAATATATCTAATATTGACTTAGTTTTCTTACAGTAGAAGTAGCAGTTGTAAGTGGCTGCCCATATATGTTCAATTGATGGACGGTAATTCGCTGTAATTGATCATGAATTGGTTGCATCATGTTTGGAGCATCATGTTTCTCCTACTCAATAGTTTTGTTTATTAAATCATACTTACTGCTGATGAAATTCAGAATATTTTATTCATAATACTTACAATCTTCTCAACTCAATATCAGGTGAATTGTTCAGTTAGAGGAGATCTTGGACATGCATGTGATTCTGTTTTAGTCAATCTGAGATGCTTTGATGCAAGAGAATGGACATGAGATGCAAAACAATTAAAAATAATTTGTAATATTATCCAAACTTCTCCTGTTTGGTGCATTTTGTGAATTTCAATTGATGCATTCAAACATGTTTTCTTGTTCAGGAGTTCTTGGATTAGAATACAGAAGCAGAAGCAGCAAATACAATTAGCATGGCTTTAGATCCTACCATGCCTAAATGCTTGATAGGCTGGCTGTCTTGTGTTTTACAATTTGATCATATTCCAGAACCAGAAGCAAAAAAACAACACAAGCTGACTATATTCCATATTTAAATGCACCGATAAGACTCCAGACCAGCTCCACTTGCACTGATGAGAAACCAAAACGAAGACTGGACGCACGACACCTCTTCCAATGCCCCCAAGTCTCGCCTCTGATCTTCAGCTTGAGCACCCGACACACTCTTTTGGATTTGTAATCCATTGATGAAACACATAATTAAATCCACGCACCTTACTTTTGGTCCACTTCCCAAATGCCAATTGAATGTCTTCTATGAATGATGATTCGTATCTCCTTGGCCTTCCAAGAATAATCTTGTTTCGTCTCCTCCAAACTGTCCATACACATGCGAACCAAATGGTGATGAGTCTTTCATTGACGACCCCATAAGCCCTTTGAACTGTTGGAGATTCTGCGAAACAGAATTATGTGAAACAGAAGAGAAATTTAACCAACTTAGAATCGCACTCCAAGCCACCGACGTTATAGGACACTAGAAGAAAATATGAAGATAATTCTCTTCCATTCCACATCCGAACAGACACGAAGTTTGAGATGCATCCAATATGCCCCTTTTGATTAAATTGTCCTTGGTCGGGATTTTATTTTGCAGCAGTCTCCAAATTAACACTGATACTTTAAGAGGCACTAGTTTACTCCAAGAAACTGATGCGGTGCACAAACATTTAGAAATCCAGCCTCTCCACTTTTCATTAAATCCTATTTTCTCCATAGTGTAATCTAGGAATTTCCAATCCACAGAATCGTAAGCTTTTTCAAAATCGGCCTTAAATAACAAAGCTTCCTTACCTCTTCTCTTAGCATTGTCAACTAACTCATTTGCTATAAGAATACAATCTAACAATTGACGACCCTCCGAAAAAGCGAACTGAGAATCTGAAATAACCTTATGAATTATTTTCTTCAGCCAGTTAGCAAGAAGCTTAGCCAAAACCTTATACATGCACCTAATTAGCCATATAGGCTGAAAATTGGTCAACTTTACCGGCTTCTCCATTTTTGGAATTAATGCTATAAAAGAGCTATTGGCTCCCCGAACCAGACGACTATTTGAATGAAATTCTGTGATAAATTTGTAGAAGTCACCTTTAATCACCTCCCAAAATTCTTCAATGAACCCAAAGTTTACTCCGTCCGGACCGGGACTCTTCGTACTATCACAATCCCAAACAGCACTTCTAATCTCAGCCTCTGAAAACACATCTGTTAGATAAGCGCTATCTTCAGTTCCAAGCCTTTTATATTCAAACTCCTATAATACCGGTCTACAGGTCGAACTGTCTCTAAACAGTTTGAAAAAATGCTCAAATACTTCATGTTTAACCTCCTGGACTCTAGTTAGTTTTACACCTCGGGACTCTGATAAGTACAATATGTAGTTATTTTGTATATATTTGTTTGTTACACTTATCGAATCTTTGTATGTAATGTCGGTTAAATAATTTCCCGTTTTTTTGTTGTAAATACGTTTAGTTGCGTATAATGCGTTTTCGTGTATAAAGTGTATCGTTTGATTAAGTTTTATATATATTTTGTAGGTATTTGAGCATTGTTGGAGTAAGAGGAATAAAGCTTCAAGATGCATTTTGGATCAATGGAGTAAGAGGAAGTTATGCTGAAAAGCAACAGAAGTTGCTACTGTCATGGATCGCCGGGCGAAAGAGACCGTCGCCGGGCAAAATTAGTAGACCAAATTTCCTTGTTGCCTCTGCCTTGCTTCGCGTCTAGGTCGCCAGGCAAAAATAAAGACCGTCGTCGGGCAAAGCTTTGTGTCGCCAGGCGACGTTAGATATTTGTTTCAGTTGAGGACGTGACTTATCCTGGGCCAAGTGAATAAGTGATGTCGTCGGGCGACGCTTTATGTCGTCGGACGATTCTCGCGGAACACAATTTTATTTATACTTTCATTTTGTTTCATTTATGGGTGGATGGTTTTTGGGGTATTTGTTCCCAAATTCCACCACCTTTATTTTTTATAGTTAGAGCTTAGGCAACAATATTTGTGGCTTGCAAATGGATGATCCAGGGTCGTGAGCTTGATGGATCGTGTTTGACACCACAGGAATTTGGTTTCTTCTCCTCTTCCTCTCTTTGTAACCATTATTTGTTGGATTTTGTATGTAACTTTACCTTGATTATATGTACATTTATTGCTCATGATGTTGTATGAAATTTTTTTTACAAATCTTTATTGATGTTTATCCTTATTAGCTTGCTAAGTGTCTGGGTTTGAGTCGTTGCAGAGATGGACGGATTGAATCCGGATTTAAGATGAATATCTATTGGGCTTAGATTCTAGAGATAGATTTAGACTTAGTAATCACTTAGGTATCGACTCTCAATGCCTCCGGGTTGTTTTGTGTTGTGTTGAGAGATCTTCGACACGGAGCGACACAGTTGATATCTCGCTCTGTGTTAGAAATGACCTCTGTGTGAGTGATACGAGATGATATTGACGAGTAGTTAAGGTTAAGTACAACTGGATAGTAAATTTAAGTATTTGATGAGGTAAACGAAATACAAACTCGAGAGTTCTATCCTATTCAAATGATGAAATTCTTCTTGTATATAACTTTTAATTTCAGCACCTTACATACAAAACCATCATAACCCAAACTCATGAACGAGAGAATTGTCGAATGTCAATTCAATAACCAATCTCTGTGGACACGATAAATTCTCAGATAAATATTTCCAAAACTTTTGTTGCTTTCCGCTCTACCGCTCCGACAAAATGGCGCCGTTATCGGGGATTGATTCTATTGTTTTCATATTTCGATAATTCTTTTGTTTTTGAGTTTTGTAATTAATGTATATGTTGTATAGAAATTGTACATTAACTTGTATATGATATTTGTGCATATATGTATTTTCACGTATTGTTGTGAATTGTCTCGTTTTCGTAATATTTGTTGTGTGATTCTTAGGATACTTTCTTTAAGTTTACCCAGTATGAAAATACCATGGCATGATGATAGGAGGTTACTAGCTCGCACAATAAAGGCGTCGAGCTTACGACGTAAAACAAGCATGTTTGTTTGTATTTGTTTATGTGTGTGGTGATTTTTGCTTTAACAAGTAGAAATAAGGAAATATTCTAAATTTTAAATCTTCACTTTTCAATTTGTTAATTCATTTTCACCCGGTTTTCATATCGTTATTTGTATTTGTTTTGTTATGTTTATTTGTGCTTTTTGAAAGCTTGTCATGTTTAGCTTGAGGAGTTTTGTTCGTTGTATATATTGTAAATTTTGTACATTGAAATATTGTAGGAGTATTATTTTTCTAATTCTTTTGTTGTTGTTTGACTCAAGTTTTGGTTCGGTAACTTGAAGAATATTGAGGTGATTTGTCAAGTTTGATCGTTTCGACTTGTGAATGTGTGGTAATGATTTTGTTAAAATTTTGTACATGTTTGAGGTATGTGTTTATCGTTTTCTATACTTTAACATATTCATGATACTTAGACTTTTTACAATTTTTATGCCATTCATTCTTTTGTATACTTGTTCATTTATGAATCACTTTAGTTCCCACCTTTTTTGTGAGATAGCTTTCCATTATTCATATACTGGAGGCCACAATTCTTATTTTAATTGAATTTTATTATGCTTAATCTTTTGTTTGTGTTGATTGTATGATTACAAGAAAAGGATCAAGGCATTTTTGTTTTATTTTGAGCACAACTACCTAGCCAAATAGTCAATTCACCTTGTGAGTGTGTGATTATTAGTAATCCCTTTGAGCTTTTTATAGATATCCATGTTGTATTTGCCAACTGCTTGTCTATGAGTGTTTAGTTTCCATTTTTGCATGGATGTTGATTCGTTGTTTTCTTGAACCCTCAACCATTGTTTTGGTTTAAATTTTTACCTTGCCTTAAAAAGTATGGAGTATTCACTTTAATGTATGATTGAGTTCAAGTTGGGGAGAAAAATGATTTTGTATTTATTGGTTGATTTCTATGAGGTTGAAAAAGAAAAAGAAAAGAAGGAAGAAAAAAATGTGAAAAAGAAAAGATAGAAAAGAAAGGAAAAAAATGAAAAAGCTTTGAAAAAATAAAAACAAAAAGAGTATAGAATAATATTGTGTTAATAAGTGATGCGTGTTGGTGTAAAACTTGTGGTAAAAAAGAAGTTTGATTGAAATTCTATTGTTTGAACTTTGTGGAAGTAATTACTCCCTTTGATTTAGGCAAGTTTTTATTTCGATTAGCTTTAGGACTTTTCACTTGTTTGTTAACCAAGCCACATTAGAACCTTGAAAAGCCTTTGAGATTCTTGTTTTTATATTTTCAATGTAAGTTTTTGAATGAATACATAATTTAGTCTATTATTTGCAAGATTGTTTGATGAGTGAAAATACCTCATTTTTGTGTATTTTTCATCTACCGATGATTGTGTTTGCTAGGTGTGATTCATTTGTGAACTAATATTATTTTAGAATGTTTGATATGATTTTTGTATTTAGCATTTGTTTTGTGTTTATATTATAGTCGTAGTTTAGTGGTAAGTGTTTACTTTGTGTATACTGTTTTTCATTTGAACCATTGCATTTGTTTTTCGTTTTCAAAAACCCACTGATTCGTGATTCTTTGATTTATCATTCTTTGTTCTTTGGGTTACTTTATTTTGTTTTAGGATAAACAATTATTCAAGTTGGGGAGAGCATGATAAGTGCAAAGTGTAGTTATTTTGTATATACTTTTTGTTGCACTTATCGAATCTTTGTTTGTAATATCGGTTGAATAATTCCTTGTTTTTGTTGTAAATAAGTTTAGTTGCGTATAATGCATTTTCTTGTATAAAGTCTATAGTTTGATTAAGTTTTATATATGTTTGTAGGTATTTGAGTATTGTTTGAGCAAGAGGAATAAAGCTCCAAGATGCATTTTTTCGATCAATGAAGAATAAGGCAAAATATTGGAGCCAGAGGAAGTTATGTAGGAAAGCAACAGAAGTTGCTGGACTGTCATGGATCGCCAGGAGAAAGAGACCATCGTCGGGCGAAATTTGTAGACCAAATTTCCTTGTTGCCTCTACCTTACTTCACGTATAGGTCGCTAGGCGAAAATAAAGACCGTCGTCGGGCAAAGCTTTGTGTCGCCAGGGGACGTTAGATATTTGTTTCAGTTGAGGATGTGGCTTATCCTTGACCAAGTGAATAAGAAATATCGTCGGGCGACGCTTTATGTCGCCGGGAGATTCTTGTGGAACACAATTTCTTTATACTTTCATTTTGTTTCATTTTGGGGTGGATGGTTTTTGGGGTATTTGTTCCCAAATTCCATCACCTTCATTTTTTATAGTTAGAGCTTAGACAACAATATTTATGGCTTGCAAATGGATTATCTGGGGTCTTGAGCTTGATGGATCGTGTTTGACATTGCGGGAAATATGGTTTCTTCTCCTCTTCCTCTCTTTGTAACCATTATTTATTGGATTTTGTATGTAACTTTACCTTGATTATATCTATATTTATTGCTCATGGCGTCGTATGAAACTTTCTTTACAAATCTTTATTGATGTTTATCCTTGTTAGCTTACTAAATGTCTGGGTTTGAGTTGTTGCAGAGATGGACGAATTGAATCTAGATTTAGGATGAATATCTATTGGGCTTAGATTCTTGAGATATATTTAGGCTTAGTAATCACTTAGGTATCGACTCTTAATGCCTCCGTGTTGTTTTGTGTTGTGCTGAGAGATCGTCGACACGGAGCGACACAGTTGATATCTTGCTCAGTGTTAGAAATGACCTCTATGTGAGCGATACACGATGATATTGACGAGTAGTTAAGGTTAAGTACAACTGGATAATAAGTTTAAGTATTTGATGGGGTAGATGAAATACAAACTCGAGAGTTCTATCCTATTCGAATGATGAAATTCTTCTTGTGTATAACTTTTAATTTCAGCACCTTACATATAAAACCATTATAACCCAAACTCATGAACGAGAGAATTGTCGAATGACAATTCAATAACCAATCTCTGTGGACACGATGAATTTCCAGATAAATATTTCCAAAAATTTTGTTGCTTGTCGCTCCACCGCTCCGACAGACTCTAAACAATATATATCATTGATTTTCCTCCTATAAACCACACATCGATGGAAAAATATCATATTCACGTCACCTAATTTTAACCACTTCAAACGAGACTTTTGCCACATAATACTAGCCTTCATTCTCGACAGGGCGAACAGTTGGGCGAACACTTATCTTTTAGCTGAGATATCCTCCACAGACAAGTCTGACACTTTACTTTTTACCTCCATCTCATTAACTATCTTTTTACCTCATCGATTTTCCCATCCAAATTTTCCATGTGATTCTTGCTCCACTCCTTAAGCGCATTCTTTAACAACTTGAACTTTTCTTTTAAAACAAACCCGCCCCACCCCTTGGATTTCAAACGAGTTCCACTTTTCTTCCACAAATTTATGATACCCTTCTAAGTCCCTCCAACAATTGAACATACGAAAGGGGTTCAGTCCCCAATTCGAAGATCTCTCACACAAGAATGTCGGGAAATCGTCGGAAAGCCTTTTATCCAGGCACCATTGGGAACAGTTTGACCACTGCATAATCCACTTGTCTGAAATTAAGAACCTATCAATTCAACTGATGGAAGATCTATCCAACTTCGACCAGGTGTATCTCTTACCTCTTGGAGGAAGGTCTACGAGCGCAACATCTGAAATAAACTCGTCAAACTCTAACATCCCGTCTCTTCTTGAGAACACTCTAATACTTTTCCTCTTTGATTACACTCTTACAACATTAAAATCCTCCATCACACACCAACTATCATTCAATTTTGATTTAGTTACCTCACCCAACTTTTTCCACAACCCTCTCTTACCCGCAGCGACACAAGGCACATACACATTCACGATTGTCACGTGAACATCCTTCTGACCCCAGCAGCCCGTCACTCCTATGAAATGATCATCTCGAAATTCTTCTTGTTTTCTAAACATTTTTGCATTTCGTATCAATAGTAAGCCTCCAGATCTCCCCTCTGATGCATTGAACATGAAATTTCACTCACTTGACCCCCACATGGTTTCACAAGCCATACGATCCACTTCTGCCATCTTAGTTTCTTGAATGCCAATTATATCAGGTTTATTTCTTCGAATTACCTCAACCACCTCTTTCTTTTTTAAAACCCCACCTAAACCTCTAATGTTATAGCTTAATAAATTCATAGATAACAAAAAACACCTACTAATATCCAAGCTACCATATGCGTTACTTCACCTTTTACTGCTCCTTCCCCCTCCCACCTTTATGCATTCATTATAGTCTCTTTCCTCCTGAGCGGATATCAATTTCAAAATTTCCCCCTTCAACTCTTGGCTTTGACACCCCTAGGTTGTTACCAAAATACCACACCCCTTTAGCTATGTCTTCGACCTCCCCATGTGCCAAGATCCCTGACTTCAATTCAACACTTTTAGAAACATCAGATTGAGTTGAAGGATCTAATACCTTGTTTCTATAAGAGAGTTGTTTTCCTTTTGATAGAAGTTATTGCATCAATACATGACAATCATGAGATTTTAGACCAATTAACTTGATATCTTTCATTGTGATACGGTGGGAGAACTGACTTTGGGATGTTTTCTTGAGTTCGGGGGGTAGATTATGAAAAGGGAAGGTATTAGCACCCTTTTCATCCGTAGTTATCTACGAGCTCTTATTTTCTTGCTATATCACTTGCTTTTGTTTGAAAATGTGCTTTGTGTGGTTTTTGAAAGTATTTTGAAAAGGCGCCATCGTTTAGGCAAACTTTGTAATAGTTCTCGTTCGTAAGAACGTATACAAAGTGTTAATATTTTGAAAATGTTTCAAGTTTGAAAGATGTTTTGAAAGTGTTGGTGTTTGTTTTGAAAATAGCAAGGATGTTTTGATTTGAAAATGAGCAGGCAACTAGGAACATTCTACCTATTCAAAAAGTCTTTCTTGTTTATTTCCTCTTTCCTTTGACATTGTTATTTTACCATGGATTGGTAAGTAACCTTATCTTTGGATGTAAAGGGGACGAGCAAGGGTCATCGTATAGTCATGAATAACAATGTTGTAAGATATCTTAGCATTTTCTTTAAGGGACTAAGATCATTTGTAGCGTCATCGAGGGACTATGATCTTGTATTTTTGTTTGTTTTTGCTAAGACATCTTACATGCGTATTATGACCATTTATTTCTTAAGGCAACAAGTGGAGTTAACCCTAGAGGTGCAAAGTGTGCAAGTGTATCTTTTTCATGCTTGATTTGTCTTGTATTAGGGTTTGCTAACTTGTTGATTTTAATCTTTCCATACAAACCCTAATTTACTAGCATTTATATATAAAGCATTAAATTATGGAAAATAAAAATACTAAGCTATTACATCAATAGGGAAGGGGGTGTACAAATTTACAAATGGGGATTTTGCAAGAAAATTAAATTCTAATTAACTATTACAACCATATTGAATATTGTACAAAATTGAAAATAAAATGCATGAATGCAAAAAATGGAAAAATAAATAATTTTTGTTTGGATTTTTATGAAAGAATTTTAACCTAAACCTAATTAAGAAAATAATTAATGAAAATCAAATAAAATTAACTTAAACTAATTTAAAAAAAGAAATTAACTAAAAAAATATTTTTTAGGGTTTTTTATGAAAAGGTTTTAAGAATAATATAAAAATACATAAAAATTAATTAATTAAAATAAAGCTAAATTCTTAACTAATTTTAATTTACAAGAAAATAATATAATATAATAATTAAACCTAATTATCTAAATATTAATAAAAGAAATAAATTGAATTATTAAGAAAATTGTTTTTGTTCTTTTTAGTTTTTATAAAGAAAAATAAAATATGAGTGCAAAAATAATAAAATAAATATTTTTTGGATTTTTTATTAATAATAAAAAAACTAATATTAGTAATAAAAATAATAACAAGAAAATATGAAAGTAAAATAAACTAAAATAAAGATGAAAATTAAATAAAGAAATAAAATGGGGCAGGGGTATGAATCATAATCAGGGGGAAAGTCAGCAAAAAAATGAAAGCCCAATGTTTGGGGCCCAGGCACTGCAAACAAAAACCAAAAAAAGAGTAAAAATGTAAAAAATGAACAAAAGGCAGCACGCTGGGTGTTGAACCCACACCCTCTTAGTTACCAGTGCGCTGCCTTACCACTGGAGTGACTATACATCCGTTTATTAAAATGAAATAATAAATACATAACACATAATACTTCCAAGGCCTGTACTTTGTCTTCAACCTTCAGCCAGCCATAACACCTGTAACTTGTTCATCTCTCAACAAAAATGGAAAGTACAAACATGAAAGTTGTGGCATTTCTTCCCACGAATCCAGCCATATAAATAACTAAAGCTATAAATCCAAGATGAGTGAGAATTTTTCTGGCCCTAATTTAAAACCTAAAAATTTCAGAAACTTCAACTCCAAAATTCTCTAAGCTCAGGCCATATAAATGCAAACTATGGATATGTACAACTTTGTAGCAATGGTATCTACATTTTATCTTTGAAAATGGAAGCCTAACAATGCCTATATGAATAGTTCAAAAGTCAGAAAACTCACCTTGCAAGAGGGTATCATGTTTTGAGTTTGAGTAGCTTTTGATGAGTTCTAATGACTGGGTTAGCTTCCTCGAGTTCCCAGGAAGCTAATGTGATGCTTGGTTTGAGCTGAAAGTGGCTAAGGAGTTCTTGAGAAGTCAAGGTGCAAGATGCTGTTTTTGAAAATGGTGGATGATGATGGAGGTGTTACAGTTGTGTTGCAGGTGTTGGAATTGTTTGTATATGTTATTTAGAAGCTTTTGAAAGTAAAAGGCCAAAAAACGCACGAACAAATTTAGAGATTGGGTTCAAAACTCAGAAATGGCAAGTTTTGAGATGTTTTTGGTGGTTCTGTGCTTTAAGGGGTTTTCAGGGCTTGAGCATGCGTGTGTTATCTTGCAAATAGTGTATGTATTTATAGGCAAGAGGTTTTGTGTTCTACAACAAGTCAGAATTTGAATTTACATATTGTAAAACCTTTACTTGTTTTTGAAGCAAACATGACAAACATCTTCCCAAAGCTTGTACCATGCTATTGTAGAGTGGTTGAACTTTAAACAAGCTTGCTTTTTACTTGTATATGTTGTGTGTTCAGAAGGATCCATTGAGAGACTCAAGAAGGGTTGACATTTGCAAAAGCATACTTTTCCAAAATGGAAGTCTTTCCTTTCTTCCAAAAATGGCAAGTTAACTTAGACAAAGCTTGAATTTAATGGATAATAGCCATAAAGTTTGTGTAATCTTATGATTAAGGATAGATACACAAGTTAGAGGGCCTTAAAAGTGGGATTATGCAACATGGCTATGGATTTGGTTCATGTTCATCACAAAATATGTCTTGCAAAACAAGTTTGAAACCCTAACTTCTTGCCTTCGATTCTCTTAGCTCAAGTATGGTCTTGATGATTTCTTGGACATTTTGGAAAGCTTGTAATGTGATCTACAATCCCTCTTTGAATCACTTTTGAAAAATCCAAATGGAACTATGTGAAACTTGGCCCATAAGTTAGGTCAAAATCCTGACCAAAATGCTCAAAATTTCACTAAGTGTTTTAGTTTCATGAACATGATTTCATGGATTAATAACTTGAAATACATACATTTCTAGGAGGAGTTGTGTTCAGAAATGTTTTAGATCTCATTGAGATATACAACTTTCATGTTGAAAGTTTCCTTTGAATCATCTTGCATCATGGTGAAAAATTAGCTCAAAGTTGTGAAAAAATATGAAGTTTTCAACACTTAGAAAAATTTCTAAGTTTGGAAACTTTGACTTTTCAAAATGAAATCTTGACTTTTTGATTTCTTGATGAACAAGTTTCATATTTTGACATGTTTTGATGAATTATAATCTTTGGCACTTGATTTTGACCAAAAAGTCAAAGTTTGACTTTTCAGTGTATAGTTGACTTTTGATCAGTTGACTGAAAATCAACTATCAATCAATTGACCTTGAGCAATGTTTTGAGTCATGCCATTAGGTAAAAATGATGCAATTGAATCCTTGAGACCATGTTTCCAACCAATCAACCATTTTCTAGGTCAAAACAATCAGAAATTGCATTTTCTCAATCAAAACCCTAATTTTGACCATTTTTCCCTTTTGATGATCTGATCAAATTTCTTGAGGAATTATGGTCTAAAATTGATCAAATGACATATATGAGTTCATAATGTTTTACATGGATAAAAAATTATGAAGTTTGACTGTAAATTGACCATAGTTGACTTTTTCACCAATATAGTTGATTTTTAGGTCAACTGATCAATTGACTGAGCAAAAATGTAATACAAGACTTGAAACTTGACATGAGAAATATTGAGGGTCCATAATGATCCATGAAAGTAATATTATGCATTAAAAATTCAATTATCCTTGTGCAATCTCAAACCCTAATTTTAGTCATCAGTGCTTAAGGAGGTGTCTTGAGCTAATCAACCCTAGTGCAACCTTGAACCAAAGAAGATCTTGTGAGAAATTACTTGATAAATGAGAGGGAAAATTTTGGGGTACAACACATTGATACAAGTTTCTTGATGTTTTTTATGAGTAACCTTGTGGAAATTTAATAACTTGCAAACACTCGCAGAAAAATTTCTTTTCCTTTTTAGATAGAGTGTGACATGCTGGAGGCAGATAAGTTCTTTTTCCTTTCTCTATTGAAGCCAACTGTTTTCGTATACCCATCTCCTCCATATCAAGATGGGAAGCCTTACTATCTTTAGTCTTTCCTGGAATATTTAGAAGAGTGTCAATCAAACTACCACACACATTTTTCCATGTGTATCACATCAAGACAATGTCTAACATCAAGACTTGACCAATATGGAAGATCAAAGAAGATGGACCTCCTTTTCCATATATTTTTTGCAAATGCCCCTTTTTATTTTTCTCTCTTCCCGAAGAAAACTTTAATGTGTTCCTGTCATTGATAAACTTCATCCCCGATTAAAGGTTCATGAGCCTCATCAAACTCTTGCTCTCCATTAAAAGCTTTCTGCAATCTA